AACATATATAAGGATAAACATTGCGGTTATACACAAGGAAGCACGGTACACTAGTGCTAATAAAAACCCAAATGTGTCTGATACACTGATATTTAGGTGTACATGTGTTTCTGTTAGTTGTTTTCTCGTGCTTACATCATCAGCCAACAGCATAGCAGAGTCGCAGCTCTTCCTGTTGTTGCTAGGAATGTGATGTCACCTGCTCCTTTAACATGGTTGGTCCTTGTGTGTTTCAGGTCCTCAGCCTTGGCCAGGAACAAATGAGCAGCGACAAGGCTTTTCCCCACAATCATCTGGTGCTCCCTCCCAGCTGGCAGAGTCTGACAGGTTGTGCTGACACTGACTGGAGCTGAGTGCTCTCTTTTTCCGTTTTGCGGGGCCTGGCTGCGTGGAGGAAGCGGGAGATAATTAATGAGCTGTGAATATGAGGCCTCACTGCTGACAGCCAGTGGAGACGGGATTAATAGTCCGGTCATCTGGCTTGATGTGTGTGCCTCCAGGCTGCCCCTTGACGAGAGTCCACTGCGGAATCCACCACGGCGGCCGCCGAGAGACCAGCAGAGATGCCCACCGAGACGCTGCAGGCAGATAGCAAGCCCGCCGTCCAGGGTGGGGCCTTTGCGTCTGCCGTCCCACTCCGCATCCTCAACAAGGGGCCCGACTACTTCCGACGCCAGACTGAGCAAAACCCGAAGCGGTTGAGTGCTGTGGAGCGTCTCGAGGCCGACAAGGCCAAGTACGTAAAGAGCCAGGAGGTCATAAACGCTAAGCAGGAACCCATCAAGCCACAGGTACTGGCCAAGCCCCCTGTCTGCCCTGCTCCTGTCAAGAGGAATGGTGGTGTGGGATCTGGCTCGAAGTCCTCCAACAACAATGCCAAGTCGGACACCTGCGCAACCACCACCAAACGGGAGAATCTCAACCTGGAGATCCTGAAGAACATCTTGAACAGCTCCTCCTCATCCGAGGGGCCTGCCAAGGGGACGTCTTACAAAGTGGGCGCACGCAGCTGGGCGCCGCATCGCTCATCCGAGCTGACGGAACCTGGATGTCGTTCTTTTACCGACTCGCTCAAGGTACCGTCTTCCACGCAAGGTCGACACAGTCCACAGGGCGGCAACTTGAACCTGAGTCGCAGGCTGCTGGAGGAAAGGTCGTGCGAGGCCGTCGGTGAGCGCTCGACGCTGCATGCCTCCCACAGCTCCTCAGACATTCGCCGCATGTGCAATGGCAAGCCACTGAGAGCGGCCCGTAGCAGCAGCTCTTCCGCACCACCACTGCCGCCCAAGCCTAGCGCTAAGGCCTTGGCTGCTTGTGACAATGCACCCTGCTCCCCTGAAAGAGAGACACTGGCCAGCACTGCTACAGAGTTGGAGTTGGGCAATTCTGTGGCCCGCAGGCCCTCTCTCCACCGCTCCAAATCAGACCTGAGCGACCGCTACGCTCGGGCCGGCGCAGACGTGGAGCGCTTCTTCAACTATTGTGGGCTGGATCCCGAGGAGCTGGAGAGCGTAGGTGTGGAAAGCTTTGCCCGAGCGAACTCTGACATTGTGTCGCTCAACTTCCGTAGTGCCAGCATGATCAGCTCGGACTGTGAGCAGTCACGGCACAGCAACGACGACCTGACCGACGAAGAAGACGATGCCGGGGAGCGCGTTCCCTATGGAATTTCTGCCGTTGAACGGAATGCCCGGGTCATTAAGTGGCTCTACAGCATCAAGCAGGCGCGGGAGTCTCAAAAAGTCTCCCATGTCTAAAAGAGGGAGCAGACCTCACCGACGCAATCTGGACTTGGTACCTGCTTATTTTTGCAATCCATGCACTGTCTTTGAAATCTCTAAAGATTAAATAGCGAAGCCTTTTGAGTTGACGGCTCTTTTTAGTCGCTTTTTTGCATTCAGTGTTCGCTGTCTTCTGAATCTGCATGACTCCTTAGACACTCAGCCTCTTTGCGGCCTCGAGGTAATGCAGCTCATGTAGGAACCTCTTTAAAGATGGTTGTGTCAATGCCATCTCTGTGCTGAGAACAACTCATATTTCCTTTTTTCTTTCTGCCTATTAAACGTCTCGATGCCAGCACTTTTCAGGTGCTTCTTATTTCACTTGGGTGCACTGAGCCAGGAAGCCATATTGGTATGAATGCAGAGCTGCAGTGTGTTTAGACTTCTTTTGATCCTCTCTCTCTCTCTGTCACTTTTTTTAACCTGTTCTTATGATGGATATGAGCTGTATGTATATAAACCTCTGTGAATAGGCGCAGCAGAAGCATGTTTTAGTCTATTCTCGAGATCTCCCCCGCCCGACTTGTCTTGGTCAGCCTTGCACTGGTCATATTGTTCCAGCAGTCTCATGACACCATTCAGCTTCATGTGGTTTTATTTTCTCTTTGTCTGTCATCCATAATTTGTTTTATTTTTGTGGTACTATTGTTTTGAAAGGTGTAAATGCTGTAGGAATATGTGTATCATTTTCAGAGTTGTCTGAAAAGCATTGTGTGATGACGAGTCTCCTATGTTCCTCCGTAGCTCCTGGTCTGTTTGTTCCCCCTTTGGGCTTGCATTGCGAGGCTGTGTGAGACTTTGTCCATGAACAAATCTGTATGACACTGTTGTTGCAATGAGATATATGTTCGGTATATTGAAGTTTGAGCTGTTACTTAAAAATGTCATGAAAATGTTTGTTCACATTTAGTTCTTTTTCATTTCAATAAATGGCTGATTTTGCCAACTTTTGTCATCAAACTCTGTATTTCTCTGTCATGTACAGTATATATATTCGATGCATGTATGTGATATTTTTCTTGAAGTGAAGCATAAACATTCTTCAAAATGTTTCTTCATTCTTTTTTTTAACTATCTATCCCTTAAGCCCCTTTCACACAGCGAGTTGATCCCAGGAAATTGCCGGGAAATTGCCAGAACGCCTTCCGTGTGAACGCAAACACGACCTGGGATTGCTTCTGGGATTGATCCCGGGTTGGGGACCTAGTAACATTGCCGTAATCAGTCCCGGAATGCGCGCTGTGTGAACAAAAGCCAGGACCAATGCCGTAAAGGGTGTTTCATAGTGATGACGCTCGTGCCATCGCGCGACTCTGTTGCTCTTAGAAGAAAGTTTGTGTTCATCATCAACAAAGAAAGGACGAACAAATACCTGCAAACTGGAGCGAAGCGTAGACCAGGAGCTCCTCACTATCCGATTCCGTACTGAAGCTGAGATCGTTCACCAGCTTTGTGGAACGGTATGCGCGTGTACATGTTTTCGACGCGTCCGTTATACGTCTCATCCTGACGTCATGCGTCTTCCCGGGATTTTTACGGGTTGTGTGTGAACGCATTCACAGATCCCGGCAAATCACTTGTAGTGTGAATGAACCGAAATCAAACAATCCCGGGACAAATGCTGGGTCACATTATCCGTGTATTTTCTGGAATCTCTGTGTGAAAGGGGCTCTAGATAGAATACTGTTTAAACCAGCTCACACATTGGCTAGATAGTAGAAAAATAACAAAGGCCAATCATGTGGTCCTCCCATTGCTGACCCTGAGAATACAGCTGTCAAGTCTTGTGTTCTCACAACCCTATTTTTGCTCTCTCATTGTAGCCCTTGTCTCTTTGCAGAGCATGGCTGTCTGCAGGAGGGTAGGTGCCTTTAATTTAGTCATTTGTGCTGCTTGCTTTCTCAGGGCAAGAGGAAATGATCTAATTCATCACAAATGTTTAGAAAGTCCAGACCGCTGCACTAGAGGCCCCCTCAGTCCCTGGAGCACCTAACTCATAAACAAGCTCAAGGGATCCATGGGTCACAAGCTGGAACACTTACATGAAACCTAATGTTTTTTTTCACCCACTTTTCTCTGCAGTTTACAAAAAAAGACTTGATGCAATCGAAAGCACTGAACTGGTCTTTGTGGTGATTGCTAAGGCAGGTCTCAGTACAACTATTTCTCATATAGCCCCTTTCACACAGCGCATTGATCCCGGGAAATTGCCAGAACGCCTTCTGTGTGAACGCAAACACGACCCGGGATTGATACCGGCATCGACGCTGGGTTGGGAACCTAGTAACATTGCCGGCCGGAATCAGTCCCAGAGGAACGTGCGCTGTGAACTGACAAAAGCCAGGACCGATGCCGTAAGGGGTGTGTCATAGTGATGACGCTCGCGCCATCGCGCGACTGTGTTGCTTTAGAAGAAAGTTTGTGTTCGTCATCAACAAAGAAAGGACGCACAAATGTCTGCAAACTGGAACAAAGCAGAGACCAGGGGCTCCTCACTATCCGCGCTGAAGCTGAGATCGTTCACCAGCTTTGTGGAACGGAATGCACGTGTAACGTTACATGTTCTCGACGCGTACGTTAACGTCTCATCCTGACGTCATGTGTCTTTCCGGACACTCACAGATCCCGGCAAAACACTGGCAGTGTGAATGAACCGAAATCAAACAATCCTGGGACAAATGCCGGGTCACTTTGTCCGTGTATATTCTGGAATCTCTGTGTGAAAAGGGCTACTTATTCAACTTTGGTGCACATGTAAAGTGCAGACATAAATGATACCTTAACTGTGTGCCTTAAGAAAAGGTGTTTGTGTCTTTATTCTTGAAAGCATACAGTGCCTGAGTCACTTGTAATGACCCGAATACACACTCAAAGTGAAAGGTTCTTTATGGACCATTAACACAACCTTTCCAATGCACAAAATATTCATTTTACTGGAAAAGGTTATTTAGATTATTATTATGTTGACAGTGAAAACTTTAAGAACTGATCACTGAAAGGTTATCATTTTCCACAAAAAAAAAACAACAAAAAACATAGTAACGCCCTTGCAACCACATAGCGCTGCATTAAAATACACTTAAAGTGTCATTTCTTAGGTTATACTGTTATCTTGAATAGCATAACCTTGAATTATCTTGTTATCTTGTTGATTTTAGTAACCAGAGTAAGGCGTGTCTGTTATTCAAGCCACAAAATGGCTGCCAACTCTTGCTGTTCTGAAATTGAGTGTGTTTTTGGGGTAATTATAAATTATTTGTAATAGCATTTGAGTGCCTGTTAAACAATATTTACACAATGCACACCCCCTCCCCTACTCCCATTACCCCAAGAAATGTAGGATTAGCAAATCCTCCCTCTGGCTTTGCATGACATGAAGATTATTTTTCAGTTGATCTAATGACTAATGGGAGGGGTTATCTGTTCATGTAAGGAAAGCACAAGACTGTCGAGCCGTGGCGGTAAAAGCCTTGCTTTTTCCTGTGAGGACCTGGTTTGAAACAACATGGCACCCCAGGCAACAATAAGGAGGTGAATTTAATTTTCCATTTTGTTTCCTGAAGTTACACAAATAACATCAGACCCTCTCATGATCGCCTTCATTAATTTCCATTTTGCATGCCTGACAAAAGAGGCATTGATGAATGCCCTTTCTGTAGTGTCTCTCTCTCTCTCTCTCTCTCTCTCTTTTCCTGGCAGGAGTGGAGCAGAACATTAGGCTATGAAAGCAAGCCATGTTTGAGCTCTGTCTTTCTCGCTGGAGGGATGCTGCGACATGGTTGTGGGGTTCATTGGCTGTAATCATTTCCCCTGCATGCCTCCCTCCACAACACAAAGGTAGCAAGTTTCTTCATCCCTTTGACTCATGCTTTTCTAATGCAGAGGTTTAATAGCGCTTTGCTACAGCTGTGAACTAGCATGACATTCACCACCGATTGCCACCTCTCTCTAAGGCCAGAGGCTCACAGTCATCATGTTGTGTCATAACAGGCTGAATGTGGCCCTCTTTTGTTTGTTTTGCTATTGTTTCGTCTGTGGTGCTGCAGCATAAATAACCAGAGATTTCATCAGCACTATATCTCCTTGTGGCAGTATTGAAATAGAGGATGACCTTCTCGGTTCATTTTTACTTTTGAATTTATTATGTCATGTTCATTAAATGTGAAGGGCACTCATTTTTAAACCATGTGGATTGTGAATACAAATAAATGGATTATTGTAGAAAAAATGCTGTAAATGTATGCTGATCTTTTAAGTTCAATTGCAATTTAGCTTGGTTAAATTGTAAGTAAATAACATATTTTATTATAAAACAGATAATAGGTAACAATCATTATAATTTGTTAATTTATTTAATTTGTTCAATTTGTTAGTTAATTTTTTAATTTGTTAGTTTGTTTAATTTGTTTGATTTGTTAAATTGAATATATATATATATATATATATATATATATATATATATGCATCGTTTTATCCCATAAATCAAGGAAAAATTGGGCCAAAATTGAATAAGAATGCTGAAATTGAATGTGAATGAGACATTGTAATCTCATATATATGTATATGCATGTATATATAAGATTACAATGTCTTATCACATTCAATTTCAGCATTCTTATTCAATTTCAGCCCAATTTTTCCTTGATTTATGGGATAAAACGATGCATATAGACTGCATAAAGATCAGGCTTCTTATCAAAAGACCAGTATTATGTTTATGTATGTATATAGATATATATCTTTAACTTACTTTAATGAGTGAAGTGTAAAATTACTATTTATTAGCAATACCCTTGTATTTTAGACTTCTCAAATCAAATCTTAACTTATCTTTTTCAAAAAAAATTTTTTTATTGTGATTAAAATTTGTATATGTTTATTTAAATGTCACATCATGGTGGTTTAGGGCTTACATTTGTAGGACTTTAGGTTTCGCCTATACTTTTGTCAACAGTTGTTAATCAGGTTCTGATCTTGTCAAGTATTTGAACAACCTGTCAGAGCAAAATATCATTAGAAAGCATGTGGCGACCCATCGTTAAAATTCCAGTAGCTTGGTAAAAGCTTTGTCAACAACATGCATTCACTTGTGTTCAGGCAGAGTAAGAGGGCTATGTGTGTGCAGTGAATGCTCCTGAAATTGAAATTCAAATGGCAGCTCACAGCTAACCATTATCAGCTGCTCTAAGATTCCTCAAGCCTCAAATAACTTGAGATGCTTAAAAGAGTGAGAATCTGAATTATAAAACATAAATTGGGCGTATATATTTTGATTCTAATCTATTGCAGATTGCTCAGCAGCATGCACAGATATGACCAACAACCATAATCATCTGATGGAAGGCTTTTTTATTCTGATGAGAAATGCATAAGCCATCCATTTCGGAATACCTTTAATGGACATAATACTGAGATGGCATGCAGATGTGGTCATTAGTGTGATGCATGTAGTGCCTGCATACAGTATGAAATGGAGATTAAGTAAAGCTTAGATGGTGTGTGTAACCCTTCTTATCTTGGGCGACTATAACTAACATCATTTGTTCAGTTGTTCAATGTTAAGCAACACAATTGTTTTCAACATTGATATTAAGAAATGTTTCTTGAGCAGCAAATCAGCACATAATAATTTCGGACAGATCATGTGACTGAAGACTGGAGTAATGATAGCCTACTGAAAATTCAGCTTTATCATCACACAGGAATAAATTAAGTTTTAAAATGCAGGTTATTCAAATGTGTCAGAGAATATGTTTTTAAAATGATGTAAAAATTGTAATTAAGGAAAAAAAAAAAACTGTTTTTTTTGTTGTTTGTTTGTTTTTTGGTCAAAATGAGTCATAAAAGACTTCTTTCCATAAAATTAAATTACTGACCTTAAATATAGTGCATACGTAGTATTTTGAATAATGGTAAGCCATTTGCATTTTACACATGCTTGATGTTGTGACAGTTCTGTACTAAATATACTTTTACTTGCGTATCTCTTTGCCTTATATTTGCCAGTTGTCTATCAGAAACTCATTTGATATGTTATTTCAATGACTTTCAGCGGAACAGAATCATTTAACAAAACGACACAACGTTTTTCTTATGGACACATGCATGTAGGTTTGTGAGGTCACAGCACAGTCATGCAGGACTATAATCTAAAAGCTCTTATTTCAGTTCCCAGTTTTCCATCAAACTGGATCCTTAGATTGTAATGATGAACACTGTATGTGTTGTGCTAAAATCGTATATTAATTATATTTGGATGTCTGATGATGCATCATGATGGAAACAGACTGCCCCCTAGTGGTGCTTTCTGTTTACTACATGGGTGAAAATATAAATAGAAAAGCCTTTTATAAATCTAATTTCACATTACTAAACTCCAATGTTTTTAAACTGCGTTGAATGTTTTTAAATGTATTCCCTGAGAACAAAATTCAAAAACACAGTTCAACAGTTTGATAGTCCATTCAAAACATTACACACACAGGGCCTAGGGGGCAGCATACACTAAGAGATGATCCTCAACATGCAAGATACACATGCTGTATTTTTTGGCTATGTTCACTAAGGAATATTGGCTTACTGAAAACTGTGCAGCATATAATTCATAAAGTATGTGTGAATTATGCAAATAATACAATTTATTTTTATGATTGATCCTAAAAATATTATCTCATTAGAATTGTGAAGCTTTTGTTGTCTATTTTCAAGTTGAATAATATAATATTCAGAGTCCAAATAAAATAAAAAACGTTATTATTCAAAATGTGAAAAAATGGGCTTATATGATTCTTCGTCTCAAGCCCTCAAATGTATCAAACAGTAATATGCAACATTGTTGTCACATGACCTCAGCAAGTGGCATGACGGCAAGAACTCTTTATCCTAGAAAAATCTGTTGATTTTATTTTTGGTCTGATCAGCCCAGTTTTGTTGTCTCTGTCGTTGTCTAGGTGCTCATGGTTTGTTTTGACAGCTCTGCTGTCATCGTGGCATTATCCCGAGTTCCCCCACCCTCTTATATATTAAACATAATTGAATCACCTGTCACCTGTCATCAATTGACTTTTTAATTTATTCCCCTATTTATCCCTCTCTTGTTCGCTGTCTTGTGCCAGAATGTTTGTGTATGTTAGTGTTCTGGCCAGCTGTAATAGATTGTATTGTCTAGTTAAATCGCGTTTGCGTCCTGTTTCGAGGCTCCAGTAGCCTACCTGTTTTGTTTCTTTTAGTTTTGTTTCTCTCCTCTCTTACGTCATCTACACTGCATTCCCCTGCCCTGGCTTGCTTCCTGCTCTTTGGAACTGACTTCACTCACCCCAGCCCTCATTCCTCGCCCACCAGCGATCTCTCCATCGGACTCGTGTTCCTCACGAACTCAACGCCCGTATTGAGGAGCTCCAGTGAGATGCCCTGGGGACCAGACCTGTCATTCCTCCTTCCCAATCATCTCCAGAGGTGTCAAAATTATTCACATTCATTACTCAAATAGAAGTATAGATAGGCTACTAGGTTTTAAAAAGACTTCTGTAGAAGTTGAAGTATCTGGTTTCAAAACTACTTAAAGTATAGGCTAAAAGTAATGTAAGGAAAAAATGCCTATAGTCAGTGCACTACCACCTAAAATTTTTTGTAAAGGCCATAATGTTATTAAAATGTTAATGTTGAAAAGTTTGGGATGCATTTAGGCTTCTTGTTTCAGATACATATGGCAATTAAAAATGAATGCATTTTTGTACAATGCAAATATTGTGTGTTCTACGGTCAACTGAGCATTAACAGGTGTCAGATATGATGACTAGTTGCCTATAAGTATTGTAATGGTGCAGAAAGTCAAACTTTAGAGGCATGTTATCAATAACCTTTATTGGAATATACCAACGCATTCTCATCCTTTAGCGTCATATGTGACGCTATATGACAAAACAGCCAAATACTACGCACATGTGATGGGTAGGTTTAGTTGTGGGGTAGGGGGAGGGTAGTCTCGTATTACGCTAAAGGATTTATGACGCCTTGGGTTCGCGTGTTATATTAACGATAAAGGGTGTCGTGTGTAGTATTTCACCGTTTTGTCATATAGCGTCACATTTGACGCTAAAGGATGATATACATGTACATAAGTTTAGCTGCGAATCTGTGAGGGTAACGGACAAGAACATTGGTGCACCCAGGGCAGGCTTAGTAAAAAACCCAATATGGATGTCTATATAGGCTACACACTAAATACTGTCAAAATGAATGATTAATCAAAAAGAAAAAAAGTAATGGTACTATGCTCATTTATATAGCATACTCTCAAGTTTTGAAGTTTTTTTCTTTGGTTGTTGCGTTAAATCTTACCCAGATACAATAGTGGTATTTTCTGACTGGCTAATGTGTACTGTCTAGAGATTCAATTAACCGCGTAAAAAACAAGAGGGTGTCGGAATGGTATGTTTATACTTCTCATCCAAGCAAAACTCTATCCGGTTTTTTTTTTTGAACGATCACAAGCCGGAATGAAAACAAGCCGAAGTGAAATAGGAGTAATGAGGCTATTTTTAAAATGTTAGGAGTACAAAGTACAGATAATTGCGTGAAAATGTAAGGAGTAGAAGTAAAAAGTCGGCTGAAAAATAATTATTCCAGTGTTTACTACTATTACTACTTTGTTTGTGGTGGTCATTTCACTCGCTTTAAATGGTATTACTGACTGCAGTTGAAAAGCAAAGCGAGCCGAGCCGTGCCGAGCTAAAGCGAGCTGAGCCTTGCCAATACTCGAAGATGACAGGCTCTCTAAGCATGATCCCAATCAGTTGACACGTCTCCATTCCCTCCTGCAGGGAATGAGGATTACATGCGTAACCGAGACGTTTCAACACCTACCTAGAGCTTTAAAACCTGAGCTTTCAAACAAACTAGACCAAAGACCAATCCAAACAACTGCAACCACTCAGAGCACCTTAGCACCCTTAAATCAAAGTCTAAATCTCTTCAAACTTTGTATATCACTTTAAATGGCCAGAGTATTTACAATACCCAAGACTTATAATCTTCAAACTTCAAATCTCTCTGCAATCTTCCAAAGTATTAGAAGTACTCCGATCCTAAATAACCTTCACATTTCAAACTACCTTTCATACGAGGCTTTGTCCAAAATTCAAAGATCAAATCTTTTTCTTGTTTATCTTGAAGATTGTTCTACTTGGAGGACTTAATAGTAAAATGACACAATGTTTCAACATTAGGCAAATCTACTCCTACAACAGCACATACGAGGCCTCATCGAGTGCTGTTCTCCTGAGGACTTGGCTTTGAAAGGCATAGGATTGAAATACACGAGGGACCGGTGGATGACAGTCAGCAAACTGTGTAGACAGATTGAGGAGAGACTGAAAAGTAATCACACTCAAAAGGAAGTCAATCAGAACTTCTGATTGGAAGAAAGTTAAGTTTGGGGAGGACAGGGTAAGATTGCTCTCTGCCTTCCCAAAGTTATGCGCTACGTACTGTATGTGTGGCACTGTTTCTTTCTGCCACTACAATAACTCAAACACTCAGGATAGTTAGCCAAAATCATCCATCGCTGTTAATTTATTGGCCATATTTTCTTTTCCCCATGTGGGGTCATATTTTAATCTGTGGTCATATTTTAACCTGTGGGCTCACTTAATAAATTTAGACACGGGTGTTTTGATTGATATTTAATTGTCTTGGTGTCTCTCAGAACATCTCATTTCACACATTCACATTCATACACTTTCACACACCCCTCTCAGGCCAGATAATCATACCTTTTCGTCTGCCTCAGCAGTATATATATATATATATATATATATATACATACATACATACATACTATTATGGAGTGGAATACCACCAAATCCGACAAATTTTATGACAGAAGCTACTGAATGTAGACACACTGTTGCATTGCAACAGTGTCTAAACGTTAGGATATCGATTGTCCGATGCAGTCGCCATGTGGCCAATTTTACACCTTAAAAACTAGCGTTGTGGAATTTAATTGTTTCAACGATGCATTGCTATGCAAAGGTTCAGTAAAAGCCAATTATAATGTACTGACGCTTTTCTGACGTCATTTGTTGCATGTGCTTTGTGCCAGACGGGCGAACACACACATCACTTTTTGAAACCTGAAAAATTGAAAATTTAAGAAAGCAGTGCATCATAACGCAATTTCCCTTACAATGCTTAATTTATTTAATTATTAGGGTTAATTTTAATGTATTCAGCATGTTGCATTTATAATGAATGTGTATAGATGCATTATAGCTGGCTTAATGCAGTCATAAATGGCTATTTTTTTCATCTTAAATTTCTTTTTCATGACCTGTGTGATAACTTCTGTTGTAATATAAGATGTGTGAAGTAAACAGACAAGTACAATGAAAGAAAAGGGGAACAAGGCTGAGACATGACCCAAAACTTTATATATCAGGTCCCAAATCATTTATCAAACCCAGGTCTTTATATATATCTGATAGATCAACTGCTTCTGGGCTCCTTCACTTTCATCTTTTGCATCAGATAAAGTTCCGTCTGATAATTAATTATGTGTGCCTTAACATAAACATTGAATTAATTATACTGGATACAGCAAACCTATTGGTATCGTTGTGGATCATTTCTATCACTGTTATAGTGAAAGTCCAGCAGAAGATACTGTATGCACAATTTATTAGGGTATAGCCTTGACCCACAGTGACAGATGCACTTAAGTCTGTTGACTGATAATACTGTTGCTACAGGCAGCAATAAAAATAACACAAAACAGAGCAACTATGAGCAGATTTTTAAACGGTTCTAAAAATTAAACCCACTGTTTGATGCCATTTAACTGTGAAGGATGGCACTGGATAAACATCAAATGAAAATTCAAATAATTGTTCTTTAATATTCCCCTATTCAATGCTCAATAAATGCATTCATGATTTCTTGCAAAAAGTTGGATTGTAAAATCTGAGACACTGCTGTCTAATAAAATACTGGTGCACTAGTGGTACACAGTCAGAATCGGACAATAAACTGTGACTTCGAGATTTAGCCCTGTAGTTGAGTATTTCTTGAAGAGGTCGGGGTTTACCTTCACCTATCTGCCGCAGGCTACTAGTATAAATAACAAATAAAATATGTCTAAAGCATGTTAATATACAAAAGCAATACAAAAGCAATATGCCTAGGCTAGACCAAATTGGAGAAAAAGGTGAATCTCCTGTGCCAGTCTCCCTCTGGTGCCCCCCCTTCCCCACCTTGCAGTGGTCTGTTCCTCAATCAGTGTCAAATTTGGCAGACACCTGATCGACATCAGACATGGCCTCGAAAAGGCACCATGAGTCGGGGGGAAAAGGGGAAAAGAAGAGACAGCGGGATAATACTCGCTTGCAGTTAAGACAATGTTTTAAATAAAAGTGTTAGTTTTGTAGGCGCCCTTGCTTCGTGTATGCATGTCCAGGGGGCGTCGCTAGTAGTTGTGCAAATGATCCAGGGCTTTGCTCAGCATGTAGAATCTTTTATTTTACGGGGGTCCGGGGGAATTTTTCAACTTGGGCTGTTTAAGATGCAGTTAGTTTGTTTGAGAAGAAAAGGAAAGACCGCTTAGATATTTTTTTTCGTTGTTGTTCTATGCGGATAATGCGGTCAAAGGCCCAAGGGCGACATCTGTTGGTGAAACTGCAATTAGAATTATTATTAGATTAGATTATTAGGGCTGGGAAAGCTTAATCACACCCAAAATAAAAGTTTCTACATGATCTGTGAGTGTACTGTGTATAATTATTTTGTAATATACACACATATGCCATATATATTTAAGAAATATTTGCATGTATTATACTGTATATATTTATAGATAATTTATTATTATATATAAATAAAATATTTTATATATAAATAACAAATATTTCTTTAAATACTACATGCAAATGTGCATTTATATATATATATATATATATATATATATATATACAAAATAAGTATACACAGTACACACACATAGCCTATATCATTAATGTAGACACAAACATTTTGGATGCGATTAATCACGATTAATCTTTTCCCAGCCCTACAAATTATGTACAGAATTATTATATTGTGCCTCATCAGACCTCTTTTAAAGGTAGAATAGAGTTTTGAGTTTTAAATGTTCCAGTGACACATAGGCCTATATTATATAAAAGACTAATGTGTGCAATATTTTTGTATGATGGTTAATGATTCAGTAGAATCCATGAATATTTTGTCTTGTATTTCTGAATACAGGGTCAATGCTAAAATACATGGGTATGGGTGGTTGGGGGGTGGGGTGGGGGGTATGGGGGCACCACCAAGCATTTGTGCTTAGGGCAACCAAATGGCTAGTGCCGGCCCTGTATCTGCCTCATTTCATAGTGCAAACAGATAACAGTATTCTGACGTATTTACTGGATCATGAATTCAACATCATGACCAGGAAAAATCAATGCTTGTGCAGAAATTCTCTAAATGTAGCTCTACTGTATACTAGCATGTCACAGAGTTCACTGAAGTAAAAACAAAAACAAACTGACCTTTAACAGATACACATGATGGTCCGTTTTGGTAAAGAGAGTTGTTTTTGAGGCGATATGTTTATATTGATTGTACATTTGGAGCACAATAAAATATAACTGATGTTACTGTTTTGGTGTTGAAAATGAATTTTGTAAAATGTACAAGCATCAATAGGTGGCCAAA